AGTACATAACATCAATCGTTGTCATTCAAAACGTCTGCGAATTTGCCTCTGTATGTAACTATACATGTATGTTAAAAAATATCCTTTGACTTTGTATATGTAATTTCCTGGTTAAGGATAAGGGATCTAATTAAATGCAATTTCTATTGTTCAATTTTTACAACCATGTAAGAGCATATAAACATGAGGCTGTGTGATATCTAAGCAATTTCTGCTTTTTTTTGGTATAGTGTGTGTTTTTGCAAAGCAATTTCGCAATAACCTTCAGGTTATTATTTTTGCAATTTGATCCTTTTTATTTTAAAATTTTTGATTTTAAAATTATAAGAATGGTTGACAGTATCTATTTCTTGATAAATTTTTATTAGTTCGTAAAATTTTCAAAGTGGCATATTTTAAAACTAGAAGGGTGTTTTTATAAAATTTTGGTACCTGAGTTTGTAATTTCAGTTATTCCTACACAGGTTAAATTGTAAACTTAAAAACAAAGCCTCCAAAACCAAGAAATAACATTACCAAAAGCTATTTCTTACTAATAAATAACTTTTATTGAAAAAGTGGCTAAATCAAACATTTGACGAATACTGCAGCAGCATTCGTAAAGAAAATAGCAGTTTTCGTGTAAACGAAATAAGTTTCACCTGATAATCAGTTGAACCAATTGTTTTAAAATTGTTTTAAAAATTTTAAATTTAATATTACTAGCATAAGTATAAGTTGAGTATTTAAAATTATGGAATTCCTTATAATTGGTTAATATTACTTAATTTTTGAATTGTGAGAAATTAGTTCTTGTGCTTGCCAACAAACAACTTTCATGCATATAAAACAAAATACGTAAAAAATTATAAAAAAACGGACACTAGGAATATATATGGGAAAACAGTCTTTTAAAGTTTTTCAAAAATACAACACAACTCTACACATGAATTGTTGAAATTTCATACCTGCCCAATTTCTATAAAAATAATGGCAATTAAATATCTTGGCAAGAAAAAATTTCAACTGCACCGAAACTAAAGTCTCTATAAGGATCGAGTTGAACTATTTTATTATTTTGTTTTAAGTTTCACGTTTTTAAATTTTGGCTACCTTTTATCAAAATAGATGTAAATATTGGTATATGAATTTTTGCGTCTAAATTAATATGGGCATATTGCCAATCTACTAAAACAGCAAAGAGTTATAGCGAGTGCTAAAATTTTATTAATTCTTAAGAATTTATCTGATTGATTAGAATTATTTAATTAAATTAATTTATACAGGCGCAAAATGATTGCATTCTTATCATTGGGAGGTATGACTACATTCACATGTTTGCTGTATTTATAATACGAATATATGATTAAACAGTTTCTAAAATAAATTCAATTTATTTCAATATCAAAAATTATTGTAGGTCTCATTCTCATTAGATGAAGATCTTTCGAAACTTTTTTAGACGTTGTTATAAATTTCATTATGTTTAATTTTCAACAGCATATTTGAGAGTTTAAAGTATGTTTTTTTTATTATTTGGCCAATATTTATATTTTTGCTTTTCGTTTTTAAAATTTAAGGAATACAAAAATGATATGAAGCGTGAGGTTTTTTTATACTTGCATAAAATAACAGAAGATATCGTTTTGCCAAATGATTTATCATATCTAGACAAAAAATTTCAAATAACATAAATAAAATATTGTTCACGTCTGCAAATAATTTTTTAAATGGAAATAATATTTAGAAATTTAAAAATTATATTAATTCACATTTTATGATGTTCCGGTTTTTATTTTGAAATAAAAATGGAATATGGTGGGATTTTATTTTATGAAATTGAATATACAATACTTTGGTTTGTTTTGCTCTAAAATTACTATAAAATTACTAAAATTATAAATCACAAAATTTTGGAGTACATATTTGATTAGTAATTATATAATGGTTCCAAAACAGTTTCAGCATATTTTTTTATTAGTTTGTTTTGCTCAGCTAACTCATATGAACTTGTTACATCAATTCAATGGTTTATAAAATTAACGAGATTAAAATATTAAAATTTTTTGAATTTTAATTCTATCGCTTCGTACTATAAATTAGATTTATGTTCATTATTTTAAATTAATTTATAAAAACCATTATTTTTGATAAAATTTACTTTGTTTTCAATTGCCAGTTATTCAAAAGTTATCGTATACAATAAAAATTTATTTTAATTTGGAAATACTTGTTTTTCAATAAAGAGTTAATATAGCGTTCTTAAAGTAGAAGAAGTTTTATTAAAATTATCCCTAAATTTATTTACCAGATAAAGTTTCGATTTCCAATATAGATCCAGCAATATAAATTTTAAACATTTAAAAATATTTAATAAATTAAAAGGAGTTAAATTACATTTCCTCCGTTTCAATGTATTCTACTTTTTAGAATTTGAAATTCTACTAATTATTAGTACTAGTTTCTAATAAGTAACTAATTAGCGCAGTTCTTTTTATTGAATTTTCACTTTTTATATTCAATAATTCATTTTATGTTTGGTATGAATTTTCTAAGCAACTCTTATTATCCTAATACCTTATCACAAGGTGACCATGCATTAATTTCATCCTATTGAGTGTAATTAATATGATATACGTTTGAGACAATAAAAGAAATTTTAAAGAAAATGTTTAATTTATTAGGCTGTCAGGCTTGTTTTTTGTTATAGAAATTATGTCTATTGTAATATTTGCGAATTTTCTACAAAAGGTTGAATTGAAATATACATTATACAGTTCTGAATTACATTTTTGAATTTGAAAATAACATTTGATTTATTTTAAATATTTGCGGCAAAATAATTAAAACTTAAATTTCTACAAATGCTCTTGCTATTTGTACATTATTGTTAAATCAATTGCTAATATGTAGGTATGTATAATATATGAACATGTGCATATTCAATTATAAAAAGAGACAAAATAAATATTGTTTAATCTACAATAATTATTAATGTTGAGGAATGGCATTATACGAGTTTAGATTGCGATATTCAGCTAAATTTGCACATTTGCGTTTTCTTTTTTTAATTTGGTTTCTCTTAATTTATTTTAAATTAAGTTTTGCAAGTTGATAAACTTGACTTCCAGCTTTGCATATACGAAATTCGCAAAAAAGCAATGACTGGTCGACAATGTAAAACTTAATTTCAATAACATTATCTAAAGTTTAGTAAAGATGGTTTAAAAAGTTAGAATTTTAAAATGTTGCTACTAAATATTATACAGTATTAAAATTTTAATATCTTTTTTTCTATATTAAATATGATATACATACATAAATACAAAAAGGGGATTTTCTAATTGCAATTAGTATCAGTCAGAACTGAATAAGTTCACTTATCTAATTTTAAATATTTTTGACGTGCTTTTCACTTATATGAAAATAACCAACATGAAGATTTAAATATGAAATGTAGAAGTGAACATGTGCAGATGTTTCATTTTCAACTTGAAACAAAATGGTAAAAAAACTAACATACATTTTTAGTTCAAAAGGTATGGTATGATGGCATGACATATCTATATTTCAATGCCTTCATTGAAATGTATAATTGTTGATATCTAATTTTTTCAGAAAAATGTTTGGAACGACTGGGGTAGTTATAATGTGCTTCAAGGTTTTTTTTTATTTACTGGAAAAATGTAATTTTTTTTCTTGCATTAGAAAACGCTTAAAATTTTAAGTAATACAGCATTAAATTTTTTTTTTTGTCAAAAATGTAGATACAATATTCTGATGAAAAACCCTAGATTTTTATTGTAAAAAAAATAAAGAATTATTAATGTATGTATATATCTATGTGTATGTTTATAATTAAAAAGAATAACGAAACAAAAATTTTTAAGATATTCATAAAAAACTTATACAAGGTACAGAGTTTTGGTGACAACCCTAGTTCAAAACCAATTTAAAAAAGTTTTCAATTTAGTCAATTTTATTCTTTTCAAAATAGTTTCTACTACAACACAATAGATGGCTAATTTACACATATTATTTTCTTTCCTTAAGAAAGTTTATACATATAATATAATACCTATTAAATTAACATAGAGATGTAAGGTTGGGGTTGGAGTTCAATGTGAATTAACTTTTTAATAAACAAAATAATTGATTCCGAGATGAAAAAGCCTAAGTTGCCTGTTATAAATCTGAATCTTATGAAGATCCTGATGTATAAGTCTGGTCTGACATCAGATAAAATCTGATAAGCAAATTAGAAACAACCGATTATCATCAGATTTTCTGTCATATTTTAAAAAAAAAATGGCGAAACATAAATTTTTTAAAAAGTGTTACCAAGACTAGCTGATTTTTTTTTTAATTTTTGTTGCTTGTTATTACAAATATTAAAAACATTGCCGTCAAGAGTTTGACATAAAAGTATAAATAGAATCTGATGTGTAAAAGCTAATCAGATTTTATCTTAGATGAAACAGTAGATTTAGTCTGATGTGGAACTCGCATTAAGAGCACTAACGAAGAAACAATTGCGTCGTATTGGCTTTTATTAAATAAGTATTTGGTTTGATTTCTGAACAAATTTTGAGGTATGTATAACGTTAAATATGTATAATAAAAAATATTTTTTTTTTAATGCAATGCCGTTTACGAAATGGAAGATACAACTTATAAATTAAAATAAAAATTTCCTTATGGGTATTAAACTTCATAAATAATCCAAAAAATTAACATTAATAATACCAAAAAAATTACAATTAACGATCCCATAAAAAAATATTGAGCTTCACAATTTGAAATAAAAATTATAATAATTTATTTAGGTTCGATAATTTTTATAAGTTATAAAATTTATCGAATCTGTACATTATGCCCGAGCAAAGATAAGGAAATAAATTAGTTTTTCATTATCTTTGATCCTTAAAATTAAACTGAATAAGGCAAACCTCGTTTAGAAGTATAATTATTATAATTAGTCTAATAATAATAATTAGAATCGTAATTTATTCAAGCCTTACTCTCATTGAACTCACCAAACTGACTTCTCATCCAGGGGTACAGCGGTGAGGGCATACCAGAACCTGAATTTTGATTATTTGGCGGTTGTTGCTGTTGTTGTTGATGTATTTGTGGAGGTTGTTGGTGCATCATTTGTTGCGGCGGAGCACCCACCGGGGGTCCTCCACTCGTTTGTTGATACATTCCCATATTATGATGTCCTTGATGAACCTAAAATAATTAGTTTTAAATAAGAATGTTTTCTGTAAATATGTATAATCTGATAATACCATTACAGCACAAACTTTCTGAAATTACCTGCCCTTGAGGATGTCCAATATGAGAAGGTATTGCCATTTGGGAATTCATATGATGAACTCCACTCATTTGTTCTAGAGGTGGTGATCCATTTTCTAAGCCCATACCAACGCTTCCAACACCCGAAACACCTAATCCCCCAACAGCAGCTTGTAATTTACAACTGGCATATACTACAGGTTGTTGTTGTTGTTGCTGTAAGGGTTGCTGCTGTTGAACTTGTTGTGTTTGTGGACCACATTGTCCTCCATTTGGTTGAGGTTGCTGTTGTTGCATTGCATTCACACTTACCTGACTTGATGGACTATCTGGTCTAGAAAAACCTTGATGCTCTAATCCTTGTCCATTATAGTAAGGCATTCTGTCATATGGTGGAAATCTAGGATAGGGCATATTACCCTGATGACTTGGGTTTTGGCCATAATGATGTATTTGTTGAGCATCCAAGTCAGTAACACCATTTCCAGGATAATGACCGTGCATATCGGTGCCCATATATGAATTTGTAAAGTATGAAGTCATACTTTCGCAATTATTTGTACTCATAGTCATTTTGAAAGATTATTTATTTTTAATATTTTCCTTAATTTAAATTTTATAATATAATAATATTATGCTCCTTATAAATAATAAATTTACAGAATAAATAAGCTGAAATATAAAACAAGAAATATTATTTATTGTTAAAAACATTAACTTCGAAAATTCTATTGCCATATACACTTACTCTGAAACTTAACTAAGTACGATTTAATGAGGTATAAAACACGTTTTTCTATACAGCTTAATTAGCGAAATCTGTATTAATCTACAGATAACGTTATCACCTGATGTAATTCTTGTGGGATTGTTATGAATTTTAATAAAATAAATCTGCTAATTTTGCACATCAAAAATTGATCTCATGACTATACAGCAGTAAATTATTCTTAAAAATAAATTATGTTTTAATCTGAAACGAAAAACGCAAATAGAAGAATTTGTTAATTTTTTATTTTTAATTGGAAATTTTTTAATTTACCTATATGAAATAGTTCAATATTTTGTTTACAAAATTTTTTACATTATATAACTAAAAAATTTATCTGCTATTTAAAATTAAGTTCTATTAAGCCATTTAAATTAAGTTTTAAAGCTGTTTATATGAAAATTAATTATTTTATGATTGTGCCAGTAATTACAAATTTATATTCCCATTAATTATAAAATTATGAGTATACTTTTATACTTTAAAAGTAAAAAATATAAGTAAACTATTTACGGGAAAATTACATAAATTTTGTTTTATATACATGTAGTCTGAATTCTCAAATAAAATGTTAAAATACATACATATGTACATATGTATATGCATTTAAGAAAATTTAGTTCACATTTATATATACAAAAGTGCAATTGTAGTAGAAATTTAAATTTTCATACATGTATAAAAATTGGTCTCATTAAAGAAGCTGTAATATATTGTGTACAACAACTTGTGCAGACTTAATTAAAAACGAGAAAAAATATAGTTCACCGTATCAAATCTGTGATATCCGTACGGATAAATGATTTTGAATGTCACAGAAAATTGACATACAGGTTCATACAACCTCCTGCGTTTTATATGTTTAGTGCTATGTTACATATATTAGTTAAGGTAGTTATCATACAGACCAATATAATCAAAAAGAGTTTTACTGAAACTGATGGCTTATATTATTTCTGAGATATAGCCAAATAAATACCCGAACCAGTAACTCGATCATATCCAATTTAAACATGATTTCGATATTTACTACTGTTAAATCGACTCAGAATTCGACGCTGATCAAAAACATACAGCGTTACAAACTTAGTATACCCTTAGTACGGGAATAAAGAGATTCCGCGATCATGTAAAATAAAAGAACTTTAAAAAAAAATAATTTTTTTAACTTCCTGTGTTTTTAGCGAGGTTTAGGAACAGTCGTTTTTACACTTTTATTGTTATAAGTGTTTAAATTCTTTAGCAAAATAAGCATATAAAGAAAAAACTTTTTCGAATCAATTGTTTACTAGATACAAAAATTTATTACCAAGTCTTGATCTTGTTTTCGTTTTCATAGAAAGAGTTACGCTACGTGTTATATTATGTACGTATTTCTTTACAATACTGTATAAAGTAAAAATATATATATACATATGTATATATATATGTATACATATATATTACATGTATGTATTACATGTTCGATTTGTAACATAAATATTTTTATTTCTTTCCAAAAGAAATCCCACGCCGAACATTGGAATATAATGTCTCCCATACATTACGATGAAAAAATTATCCTCCTCATATACAAAACTGTTAGAAAACGTAGGCAAAGCCTCAAATATTTTTTTTTATTTTTATTTCCGTACGAACGTATGTTCGAAGGGTATACCTTAGATATAGAATCAATTGTATGTTTTTGATCAGCATCGAATTTTGAGTCGATTTAGCTTTGTCTGCCCGTCCGGCCGTCGGTCCGCCCCAACAATAACTCAAAAACTAATTAAGTTAAGTTTACCAAACTTTCACAAATGATTTATTATAGTAAATGCTGGAACCCTATTTAAATTGGATATGATCGGATCGGACTGGTTGGGGTAGCTGCCATACAACTTCAAAATTTATTTGGCTATATCTCAGAAAATATAAAAGGTATAGTATTGAAATTTTGCTTAAATTAATATGGTAACTTAATTTATCTTTTTTAAATTTGAGTAACTAGGAATGAGTAATAAATACGATATGTATATATGTATATATATTTAAAATACAGTAGAAGTACCTATCGCCGTTTTGCAATTAATGTGATAATTTATGTAATAACAAAAAAAATCCGAAAACAACTTTACTCTAGCTTGAACAGCGTTCAGTGTGTCCTCTCCCCTCTCCATATCCATACGATTTTTTTCCTAAAACACACCAACGAATCACCTTCCGAGAACTTGGACCGGACCACCCGTTTACTTATTTGAAATATTAAAAAATTGTGAATTTGTAATTTCGATCGTTATCGATTTTACTTAATGTTGATAATCTATTAGGAGACAAATAATGCTTTTAATATATTACGCATATTTTTTTTTTTTTTTCCTTTGTTCACTCCTAGAAGGAGTATAGGGCTAGTGCATGATTTCTCATGCACTAGTTTCATAGCGTCATAGAGTTTAACTAGGTAGGTGACTAACCTGTCGTAGTTTTATTTATATTAATTATTTGAGGTTATTAGTATTTACTGTTTATTTTTCTTAGTTTTTTTTTTTAATATAGAATATTAGGAATATTTGAAAATTACTTGTATAATATTTTTTTATTAGTATTGTATATTAAGTTATAATAATATTGAATATAATTTTTATAGTGACCTGACCGGGGTTTGAACCCGAGACCCTTCGGTTAAAGGACCGGTGCCATAACCACTGCACCAATGGTCAGATATATTACGCATATAGTGTATGTTTTTTTTCTTTTCTGAATAGTGTTTTTGGGGAAAGTTTTGCAAAACTTTGTTCTCATCTTTGAATGGAACTTTATTTCATAATATGTTTGTATATGAATCATTCACAAATTATATTTTATTTAGTTTGCAGAAAATTTCAAATATCTTTATAATAACAAAATAATAATATGTATTTAGTTAAGAGTATTTAAATATTATGTAATCGCTTTTGCAGCATTACAGAATTATTCAATTTGTGAGCAAAATCTATATACACTAGGTATACACTTTGTAGAACATACGTTATTTCTCCCTGTAGAACATACGTTATTTCTTTTTATCGTAAATCTGGCTACAAATTGTGTATTATCGTATTATACATTGCATTGCATTTTTACCTTTTGTTTACATGGGAACATTGAAAAAAGCATTACATACAAAAAAATTTGGTAGGCATCTATAGCGTACGTCATCTTTCTTACAACAATTGCTACACATGGCGAATTTAGCAAATGGAAATGTAGTACATCATATTTGGCTCTTTAACTGCAGGGATTTTCGTATGATGATGTGAGTAAATAAATTACATTGGGTTTCTGTGAGCGAAAAATGAAATTACTTACTAGAATGTATGTAGATACTAGTTATATTTTCGTGCGTACCAAGAAAATAAAGTTAAAATGAAAACAAATTTAATTTAATAGTTGTGCTTATAAAACGACTCTTGGGTCTACGCTTGACATAATATGTCTCATTTACTTGCCTACAAACACAAAATTAATTTGTGAACAAGGGAAATATTTCTTTTGTATTTAAAACCGATTTAACAGATAAAAAACTTTGAATGCCCTTAGCTAAAACAACAACCCATAACTATTAAAAAATACAACTACATATTATGTAAAAATGAATAAAAATTTTAGAATAAAATCAACTTTAGTATATATATTTAGTACAATCTGATCTATTAGTAAAGATTTAAACATAAATTCAAATGGTAAGAAAATAAGATAAATAAAAAAATTGCAATAATTTAATATAAATTCCGGTAGATAGCAGTATGAAAGGCACAATATGCCGTGTCACTACTTCATATCATAATTTAAAAGTATTTGAGCGAATATCTGTGGGAAAAATTATGTTATGTACGTACATAATAATATGCATATGTACAATTTTTTCATAAATTTTCAATTTTTAACTACAGGTATCCTGTCCTATCTTTTATTTATGCCCCTAAATGCACGACATTTCGATTTACGCTCTTTTAATTTTTAATACCGTTAGTTTACATAACGTCGTTTCCTTCGTTTTTAACTTTTTTTTTCCGAAGTAAATTTCTACAAAACAAAAATTTTTTTTTCATTTTGAAAATTAAATTTTTTGTCTGAGCCAGAAAATCGATTTTCATAAGTAGTTTTCATTCCTATAAGTTTATAGGACATACATAATTGTTGTTTATTATTTCATAGATAAAAAGAAATGTGTGTGTAGGTGTTTAATATAAATTTTTTTATATGTACCTCGAATAACGTCATTTCGATTTCCGTCGTAAATTTTCAGTCCCAAAAACGTCGTTAAGGAAGGGATACCTGTATTAGTTTAATTTTGCTATTTTAGATATTCTTATATTACGTTTTTTTCATTTTATTCTTTGGCATTTTATTTCAAAGTTAAAACGTAATGACATTTCATTGTGAATTCACATGAAAAGCACAATTTTGACAAAATGAAATAAACACGTGTTTATAGTTTGTGTGGCCACATTACCTTATTTAATGCGTAAGTTTTGTTAGGTAAATCAATCAAATTTTGCAGATTTATTCAAAATTAAGTTTATCGTTTTGTATTTATAAAATGGACATTTTATGTTTAACAAGTAAAAAGGCTTCAATCGGTATAAATCAAATGGATTATACCCTGCATCTTTAATTTTTGTATGGCAATGTAATACCCTGCACCCAATTTTTGCTGCTTTGCTAAATGTTTTTGTCTAAAATTCTGATGCCATTATATCTTTTAAGTGACAAGTGTATACTTCATATAATTATAGCAAGAGGTGAAAATTGTAGGAGTTTCAATGTTACAAATTGAAGACACGAATTTTTATTTTATGTGATAATTTTCGCTTACAATAAAATTTTTAATTTTTTTCAATACCATTATCATTTAATGTGTTCAGAAAAAGCCGCAACATGCATGAATTTTTTTCACAAACAATCCGTTGTCAAAAAAGTGACTATTATAATAAAACACTGCGATATAATAATTTTAATAATGAGTAGAATATAAAAAATAAAATAAACGAGTTAGAAAAAATTAATATAAACTGAGTGCTGCAAAACAACGAAAAAAACTCAATTAAAATGTTGCCATTTAACTTGTAAAAAATTTAAAATGAAATCTGATGAAAATAGAGTAATTTCTATTTTTTGACGTCAAACAAAGTCTGATGTCAAATAATGTTTACATACACGATTCTCATCCAACTTAAATTAGATCT